GTTTCTTGTTTTGCAATTGAGGTGGAGGAGAGAGTGTTAGGAGGAAGGAGGAGGGAGAGAGAGAGAAAAGAACAAATTCAACCAATTTGAGTTAAAAGCACTTAAAATGTTTTTTTTGAAAAAACAGCTGAACGTCCAGAGAGATAGGGAGAGACAGAGGTCACAGACAGCACATAGGCTTCCTCTTTGTTGTCTGCTCTGTTCACGGGGTGGAGACTGGATACCACTCAGACCCTCTGCTCTCCCTTCAGCAGACCCTCAATAGTTCCTCTGCAGACACTTAGCTATGCCCAGCCCTGCCACTAACAGCAGCCCCTCAGCAACCCCATCGGAGACACTCTGCAGCCTCCTCCCACCTCTCCCCATCCCTGAAACTAACTGCAGTTCCCCAGGTGTTCCCAACCTTGACACTAACAGCAGCTCCTGTGAACACCCTCCATAGACCTCCAGCCCTGACTTTAAGACCCCACCCACCCCTCATCTCAGCCCTGACATATACCCTCCCACACCCCCAATGCCTGACACTAACAGCCCCCACACCCCCACCCCTGACACTATCCCCCCCCACACCCCCAGCCCTGACAGGAACACCCCACCCCAGACATATAACCTCCCACCCCCAGCCTGACACTAACACCCCCACACCCCCAGCCCTGACACTATCCCCCCCCACAGCCTCAGCCCTGACACTATCCTCCCCACACCCCCAGCCCTGACACTAACCCCCCACACGCCCAGCCCTGACAGGAACACCCAACCCCAGACATATAACCTCCACCCCCAGCCCCCACACCCCAGCCCTGACACTAACACCCCCCACACCCCCAGCCCTGACAGGAACACCCCACCCCAGACATATAACCTCCCAGCCCCACACCCCCAGCCCTGACACTAACAGCCCCCACACCCCCATCCCTGACACTATCCCCCCCACCCCCTGACACTATCCCCCCACACCCCCAGCCCTGACACTTTCCCCCCACCCCCAGCCCTGACACTTTCCCCCCCACCGCACTACCCCCCAGCCCTGACACTATCCCCCCCCACCCCCACCCTGACACTATCCCCCCCACCCCAGCCCTGACACTATCCCCCCCCCCAGCCCTGACACTATCCCCCCCCCCCAGCCCTGACACTATCCCCCCCCCACCCCCAGCCCTGACACTATCCCCCCCCACCCCCAGCCCTGACACTATCCCCCCCACCCCCAGCCCTGACACTATCCCCCCCCCCCAGCCCTGACACTACCCCCCCCCACCCCCAGCCCTGACACTATCCCCCCCACCCCCAGCCCTGACACTATCCCCCCCCACCCCCAGCCCTGACACTATCCCCCCCCCCAGCCCTGACACTATCCCCCCCCCACCCCAGCCCTGACACTATCCCCCCCCACCCCCAGCCCTGACACTATCCCCCCCCACCCCCAGCCCTGACACTATCCCCCCCCCCACCCAGCCCTGACACTATCCCCCCCCCACCCCTGACACTATCCCCCCCCCCCAGCCTGACACTATCCCCCCCCACCCCTGACACTATCCCACCCCCAGCCCTGACACTATCCCCCCCACACCCCCAGCCCTGACACTATCCTCCCCCCACACCCCCAGCCCTGACACTATCCCCCCCCACCCCCAGCCCTGACACTATCCCCCCCCCCCACCCCCAGCCCTGACACTATCCCCCCCCACCCCAGCCCTGACACTATCCCCCCCCCACCCCCAGCCCTGACACTATCCCCCCCCACCCCCAGCCCTGACACTATCCCCCCCCCCACCCCCAGCCCTGACACTATCCCCCCCCACCCCCAGCCCTGACACTATCCCCCCCCCCCAGCCCTGACACTATCCCCCCCCACCCCTGACACTATCCCACCCCCAGCCCTGACACTATCCCCCCACCCCCAGCCCTGACACTATCCCCCCCCCCCACCCCCCCAGCCCTGACACTATCCCCCCCCACCCCAGCCCTGACACTATCCCCCCCCACCCCAGCCCTGACACTATCCCCCCCACACCCCCAGCCCTGACACTATCCCCCCCCGCACACCCCCAGCCCTGACACTATCCCCCCCCCCCCCAGCCCTGACACGTCCCCCCACCCCCAGCCCTGACACTATCCCCCCCACACCCCCAGCCTGACACTATACCCCCCCCACCCCAGCCCTGACACTATACCCCCACACACCCCCAGCCCTGACACTATCCCCCCCCCCACCCCCAGCCCTGACACTATCCCCCCCCCCCACCCCCAGCCCTGACACTATCCCCCCCCCCCACCCCCAGCCCTGACACTATCCCCCCCCACCCCAGCCCTGACACTATCCCCCCCAACCCCAGCCCTGACACTATCCCCCCCACCCCCAGCCCTGACACTATCCCCCCCCCACCCCCAGCCCTGACACTATCCCCCCCCCCCCCCAGCCCTGACACTACCCCCCACCCCCAGCCCTGACACTATCCCCCCCCACCCCCAGCCCTGACACTATCCCCCCCCACCCCAGCCCTGACACTATCCCCCCCACCCCCAGCCCTGACACTATCCCCCCCCCCCAGCCCTGACACTATCCCCCCCCCAGCCCTGACACTATCCCCCCCCACCCCAGCCCTGACACTATCCCCCCACCCCCAGCCCTGACACTATCCCCCCCACCCCCAGCCCTGACACTATCCCCCCCCCCCCCAGCCCTGACACTATCCCCCCCCCAGCCCTGACACTATCCCCCCCCAGCCCTGACACTATCCCCCCCCCCAGCCTGACACTATCCCCCCCCACCCCCAGCCCTGACACTATCCCCCCCCACCCCCAGCCCTGACACTATCCCCCCCCCCCCCAGCCCTGACACTATCCCCCCCCACCCCCAGCCCTGACACTATCCCCCCCCCACCCCCAGCCCTGACACTATCCCCCCCCACCCCCAGCCCTGACACTATCCCCCCCCACACCCCCAGCCCTGACACTATCCCCCCCCCACCCCAGCCCTGACACTATCCCCCCCCCACACCCCTGACACTATCCCCCCCCACCACCCCAGCCCTGACACTATCCCCCCCCCCCCACCCTACACTATCCCCCCCCCAGCCCTGACACTATCCCCCCCCACACCCCCAGCCCTGACACTATCCCCCCCACCCCACCCCCACACCCCCCCCCCCCCCAACACTATCCCCCCCCCACCCCCAGCCCTGACACTATCCCCCCCCACCCCCAGCCCTGACACTATCCCCCCACACCCCCAGCCCTGACACTATCCCCCCCACACCCCCAGCCCTGACACTATCCCCCCCACACCCCCAGCCCTGACACTATCCCCCCCACCCCCAGCCCTGACACTATCCCCCCCCACCCCCAGCCCTGACACTATCCCCCCCCCACCCCCAGCCCTGACACTATCCCCCCCCCCACCCCCAGCCCTGACACTATCCCCCCCACACCCCAGCCCTGACACTATACCCCCCCACCCCCAGCCCTGACACTATACCCCACACACCCCCAGCCCTGACACTATCCCCCCCCACCCCCAGCCCTGACACTATCCCCCCCCACCCCCAGCCCTGACACTATCCCCCCCCCACCCCCAGCCCTGACACTATCCCCCCCCCACCCCCAGCCCTGACACTATCCCCCCCCACCCCCAGCCCTGACACTATCCCCCCCACCCCCAGCCCTGACACTATCCCCCCCCCACCCCCAGCCCTGACACTATCCCCCCCCCACCCCCAGCCCTGACACTATCCCCCCCACCCCCAGCCCTGACACTATCCCCCCCCACCCCCAGCCCTGACACTATCCCCCCCCACCCCCAGCCCTGACACTATCCCCCCCACACCCCAGCCCTGACACTATCCCCCCCCCAGCCCTGACACTATCCCCCCCCCAGCCCTGACACTATCCCCCCCACCCCAGCCCTGACACTATCCCCCCCCCCCAGCCCTGACACTATCCCCCCCCCCAGCCCTGACACTATCCCCCCCCCAGCCCTGACACTCCCCCCCAGCCCTGACACTATCCCCCCCCCACCCCCAGCCCTGACACTATCCCCCCCCCACCCCCAGCCCTGACACTATCCCCCCCCCCCCCCCCCCCACCCCCAGCCCTGACACTATCCCCCCCCCACCCCCAGCCCTGACACTATCCCCCCCACCCCCAGCCCTGACACTATCCCCCCACCCCCAGCCCTGACACTATCCCCCCCACACCCCAGCCCTGACACTATCCCCCCCCACACCCCCAGCCCTGACACTATCCCCCCACACCCCCAGCCCTGACACTATCCCCCCCCACCCCCAGCCCTGACACTATCCCCCCCCACACCCCCAGCCCTGACACTGTCCCCCCCACACCCCAGCCCTGACACTATCCCCCCCACTCCCAGCCCCGACACTATCCCCCCCCACACCCCCAACACTATCCCCCCCCCACCCCCAGCCCTGACACTATCCCCCCCACACCCCCAGCCCTGACACTATCCCCCCCCACCCCCAGCCCTGACACTATCCCCCCCCACCCCCAGCCCTGACACTATCCCCCCCCACCCCCAGCCCTGACACTATCCCCCCCCCCCCGACACTATCCCCCCCCCAGCCCTGACACTATCCCCCCCCCACCCCCAGCCCTGACACTATCCCCCCCACCCCCAGCCCTGACACTATCCCCCCCCCACCCCCAGCCCTGACACTATCCCCCCCCCCCCCAGCCCTGACACTATCCCCCCCCCACCCCCAGCCCTGACACTATCCCCCCCCCACCCCCAGCCCAGACACTATCCCCCCCCACCCCCAGCCCTGACACTATCCCCCCCCACCCCCAGCCCTGACACTATCCCCCCCCCCCCAGCCCTGACACTATCCCCCCCCCCACCCCCAGCCCTGACACTATCCCCCCCCCCCCCAGCCCTGACACTATCCCCCCCCCCCCAGCCCTGACACTATCCCCCCCCACCCCCAGCCCTGACACTGTCCCCCCCACTCCCCCTGACATTGTCATGGTTACGCGGCACTTACCCAGCTGGCCAATGAGCAGGCGCCCAGCACGGAACCCATTGTCCTCCTCGCGCTCCCCCGAAAATGGCGCCTCAGTGACGCCGCTGGCAGCTTGTTTACCCGCGCGCGTCACTTCCGCCTCCTCCGCCGACCCGAATAGACCGTCACCTGACCGACGTCACCGGCCCCGCCCCCCCGCCTCTCCTGGGTTCCGCCGGCCTGGCGCGCATGCGCAGCGACAAAGCCAGCAAAGCGTGAAGGAGGAGAAACACACAAAGCACCAACTGCAGCAGCCAATAATAATAATAATAATCCTTGCATTTGATATAGCGCTTTTCACGTCGGGAGGACGTCCCAAAGCGCTTCACAGAACACACTGTAAAGTGAATTGACTGTATATTTGTGGGCGAACGCGACAGCCAATTGTGCACAGCAATGTCCCACAAACAGTCGTAGATTGAAAATGACCAATTTATTATTGTTTTTGGTTTTGGAGGGATTATTATTAGGCTCTGTGTGGAGTAAGGAAACTTGCCCAAGGTTTCGCCCTCTGCCTGGAATTGAACTCAGGTCTCTCGCTTGCAAAGCGAGTGCTCCAACCACTGAGCTACAGGACTCCACTACACACTTCTACTTGTGGTAACTCCAGTGCAAATGCCTCTCACAACGGTGCAAATAGTCTCTTTATTCCCTCACTCTTCCCACTTACCGTCATCATTAAAAAGCCTCTGTTACACTCTTCCAAGCGTTCCAGACACTATCCCATGTGAAGAGAGTTATATAAATGCAAGTTCTTGTTATTGTTTGTTGATGCTGTAAACATTTTTTCTCAATGCAAAACAGCCCCAATTTTTCACATCTCTGCCCATAACACCCACAAAATACACAGTCACTCCACTTTACAATATATCGGTTGTCTGACACATGTGAAAACCCATCACCTTGCTTTAGACTAGTATCCAAACTAAATTTATGCTACCCAAAAATGGAAATTCCAATGTTTGGAATGGAACGTTCACTCTCTCCGGCATCCAGCTTACCTAATTCCAGAAAGTATCAACAACTTGCATTTATATAGCACCCTTCATGCAAGGTAGCATTTTGGAGTCCTGGGGTGCAGGTTGGCAAAAGCCAAGGTTTGAGGACCAGAGTGCTGGAGTTTAACCAACTAAAACCTCACAGTTTGGCATTAAAAGCATTGTCTGACGAGCTTCCTGATGCTTGTCCAGCTAGGACCACCCTACCCATCAGGGCTTCAGCTTACAATGTTAACAGTAGCTGAGTGAAGAATCCATGCCCCAATGACTTCATTCTTTTAAACTATTTATTCTTGTTCTATGTCTACAGAAACATTGAAGTTTTCTTTTACTCCTTTTCTACAATTTCATTCTGTGATGTTGATGCATTTTCCCTTTATTGTATCTTGAATTGTTAATGTTAGGAATGAACATTACAATAAATTTCGGTAGGATCCTTAGTCTTTACTGACTGATCTAAATCTCTTGTGACTCCTGCTGGAAAGTGAGGGTGAGATGGCATGAGGTGATAATAGAATCCATGTTTGTCTGTGATGTTACTCATAATTGTCTTCTTCCTGTAGCTTTTGATTGTCCAGGTCAAATATTAAGAATTATAACTAGGATAAGCCACAAGAGGGCGACCTGCAGCTATAAACATATATCCCAGCATAAATTACAGCCTTTTGGAGAAGAAGAAAGATAATTAGAGGGACAAAATGTTTAAATTTTGCATTTGTAAAGTCTCAGAATCAGATTTCAAGTCTTTATGCAAAAAACATTAAATTACCAGCATGATAAGAATCTGGATATTCTTTGCACTTCAGAAGGTCATTTTTTCTGAACCACTCAGGAAAATCCAATGCCATTGTTTCTCACTCATCCAAATTTATCAAAGAAAAATCTTAGAACAAATGAATTGGCCATTAATTTCATTGTTGTTATAGGATGTTGTTGGCAGTGATTGGCCATTATAGTTACCTGTTTAAAGACAGTCAATAGACTTCAAAATTACTCACTGTGTGTTGTGTTGTGAAACATTTCAATGTTATAAGTTATAAACTATATTAAAAGCAAGTATGATTATTTAAATTCACAACAAACCATAAGCATTATTGAAACCTGTTAAATTATTTTAAAAAAACACCACTAGAGGGTACGCTACATTTAGAAAAAAAACATTTTGTACAATCAAAAGTGTTCACTACAAAATATTCATCTGATACAATATGTAACAAAAACATTTCACATTTCCATTCCCCTATTTCTCCTTTTTTTCTCTTTCCTGCCTGTCTTTTTTTTCTGCTTGGGCAGATTTCCCAGGGCACTAGTAGGTTGCACAGATGGCTGGTATTCATGTGTGAGCCTTTTCAGTGAACTGTTGGCAGATTATTCAACTCCAGAAGCAATACAGCCAAGTTGGATCCTGTACTCACCTAAAGCCCCTATCTAAAGATCACACAAACACACCTTCCAGCAGTGGTCCCTGAAAAGCTAGGAGAAAGAAACCCTGGATGATTTTCTCTCTATCCCAGAGACTGGAGGCAACTTTAATGTCCCCAACAGTTGTCCTGTCTGAGAACAATACATTTACACAGAATTCAAGCAAATTCTATTTACTGTATAGCCTAAACTGGGAAATGCTTTTACCGACTAAGCCATCAGAGAAGCCTTCAAACAATTCTGTGTGATTTATTTAAAAGGAAAATATCCAAAATAATTTTAATAATTACTCCTTGTAATATTTTGAGAAATATTAACTGAAGTCAATCAACTGTTAATCCTTGATTTTTATAAATAATTATATTTGATACAACATAACAAGTACTTGGGTGTTAATCTCACTTTACCATATTACATTTACCATATTCCCATACATACGCACACTAGGCTGGTAGAAATTCCACCCAGGTCTAAATTAACTCTATTTTCTTTTTATAGCATCCAAAATTTGAGGAGTGAAAATCTAATCAATGGCTCAAAATACTGACTGGTGGCTTCCACAATACAGTATTATATCTCCAGCTGGTGACTGAAAGGAACTGGTAGCATAGAAATTTGAGGCTGCTGTGATACAGAGATACATGGCAGGACTTCTCACAGAGGATTCAACTTGAAATCCTCATCTTAAATTGCAGATAATAATAATAAGAAGAATTAGATCTCTGTGACAGCATTTCTGGGGAGGCTCATCTTCAAACACTGCTCCGCAGTCATGTTAATAATATGACAAATTTACTGTGTACTGTGCCTTGAGTGGAATCTTGCTACAAAAATCAAATGTCTTGAGTGGCCTTCACTTCCTCTGCTCTTCCTCTGATAAAATGTCTCGCACAATGGAAGCATCTCAGAGTGTAGACAAAACATAAGGTAATGCACAGCAAAATAGCAAATACATCACTAATCCAAGCTCCTCAGGAATTCCATCCAAAATTGATGTTTCCTGGTGCTTTTGTACTACCCGGGAATCAATCATAGCAGAAAACATGATTCATATTTATTTGTTTGGAAGTTTTTCTTTGCTCAGAGTTATCAATGACTGGAATAGATTGGCAGGAAAATTGGTAGAGGCCAGGATACAGGGCTACTTTAAAAACATTTGCATTTCGTATTGTGTCTTATCACATGGTCGAGACATCTCAAAATGCTTCACTGAATTTTACTGTGAAGTGTAGTGACTAGACTTGTAAGCAAACTTAGCAACCAATTTATGCACAGCAATGTCCCACAAACAACCATGATGTGGATTATCAAATGTATCTGAGGGGTTGTTAGCCAGGACACCAGGAGAAACTCCCTTCTCTTCTCCCAAGTGTTCTTGGGTCATCTATTGATTCACTCAACAATTTTTATGGTAGACTCCAGCAGAGACCAAATCAATTTAAACTGGGCACTTATATTGTAGGGGTAAAAATCACTTTACCTCCTCAAAGGAATCTAACAAGTACTTTTCATTTACTATAGGAAATTTTTTGTGCCCTGCTGAAGTTCATTCTAAAGCTGGAATGAAATGTTTGCTTGCATTAGGATACAATAGTGTGGGTTAGATACTATGGCTTTTTATTTGGCAGCAAAGCACCAGTGAGATTTCCTTTGCAATCACAACTACAGACAGGTTTTATTCAGCATTTTTCATGTTCAGAAATCTGAGAGTGGAAAAGAATCCAAGATCGTATTGCATATGAAACACCTATATCAAGTTTGATTGATGGTTTTCTATTGATTGATGGGTATTCTTGTACATTGCTCTGAATATAACTAGCCACATTTAATTTAGCTTTTTGCTATGGTATATTATGCTGATGACTTGGCACAGATTTACACCTGAGCAATATAACCATCAAATGTAAATATCTACATTATTCATCTCTATGATTAAAAGGGTAACAAGATGTTACTGGGGAGAAATTCCAACTGGTTTCAGATTTACTCTATTTATGTAACATTTAAGAGCATCTAGAATTTGGCAATTTGTTGAATTTAGTCTTCACTTTGATGTCAATTTTCAATAGACTTTTAAAAAAAATAAGGCTCTACATCAATTATTAAAAACAGGTTTCATTTTATATCCCGATAGAGTTGGGATTTTTATGGATGCCTATAGCAAAGCACGATATTGAGTTTTTCAGCGCATGCATGTAGGCTGGTTCCTTCCATGTCCTCAGTTCACCACCAATGTTATTTCCGTTTTCTGCACATGCACAAAGTAGAAAGTGACATGGACAGTGACCAATGCACTGGAAGTCGGCCTTTGTTTTTAGTGTGGAAAGTTACAAATGGCCAACTTCCAGATCATTAGGAAGCAGGGTCTGCTTGGGGTTAATCTGGCTGGAAGGTGGGATGTTTGACAATGGAATATTGAAACCGTGTCCCCTCTGTGGTGGTCTCTATCAAATCGTCAGAACTCCAGGGAATTGGTGATGACAGACCAGCCAGCCTGGCTTATCAGTAGGAATTGTATGTTATGACATCCCACTGCAGTAAATGTACATAGGATGCACATGCTTTATAGTTTTGTTAACACTGCTTTATATAATAGAAGAAGATTTGTGTTTAGTATATAGTGTTTCCTGCTTCCATATTCACTTGAAGAATCAATATATACTCATGGGTTGAATATTTGCCTACACATTTAAATCAACACCTTAA